ACCTTTTATGGCATTTGTTTTTAGGGACTTGGTCAAGAATTTGTTGCCTACTCCAGTGTCCATAAGGGTATTTCCTATAGTTTCTTCTATAATTCTTATAGTTTGAGGTTTTACAATTAGGTCTTTGATCCATTTGGAGTTGATATATTTATAAGGTGATAGGTAGGGGTCCAGTTTCAATCTTTTGCACGCAGTCAGCCAGTTTTTCCAGCTTCATTTGCTAAATATGGTCTCCTTTCCCCAGTGACTGTTACTGGTATCTTTGTCTAAGATGAACTGGTTGAGAGATCTGTTTTTGCTTCCAGGATCTTTGTCTTGTTCCACTGGTCTATGTATCTATTCTTGTACTAATACCAGGCTGTTTTAGTTACTGTAACCTTGTCATAAAGTTTAAAGTCTGGAAATTTGATACCTCTTGCTTTGTTCCTTTTGCTGAGATTGTTTTGGCTATTTGTGCTCTTTTTTGTTTCCAGATGAATTTCTGTAATGTCATTTCCAGGTCTAAGAAAAATGATTAACTCCAAATGGATCAGAGACCTAAATGTAAAACCTCAAACCATAAGAACCTTAGAAAAGGAAGGAAATATTCTCATGGAAATCGGAACTGGCATCCAATTCCTGTACAAAACCCGAAACCCACAGGACTTAAGAGAGAAGATAGACAAATGGGACCTTATTAAACTGACAAGCTTCTGCAAAGCCAAAGAAACCATCAAGAGAGCAGGGAGACAGCCTACAGACTGGGAAAAAGTATTTGCCAACTCTAGGTCTGACAAAGGCTTAACATCCTGGATCTACAAGGAACTGAAACGTACTGAAAAGAAGAAAACAAACAACCCCATTATAAAATGGGCAAAAGACATGAACAGACACTTCACAAAAGAAGACATTCGAGCAGCCAACAAACACATGAAGAAATGCTCAACCTCACTAATCATCAGGGAGATGCAAATCAAAACCACACTGAGATACCACCTAACTCCAGGCAGAATGGCAATTATCAACAACTCAAAAAATAACAGCTGCTGGAGAGGGTGTGGTGAAAAGGGAACACTTCTACACTGTTGGTGGGAGTGTAAA